ATTTTTTGTATGTGAGGGCATAAATTCCAGGTAAAACAATTACTCTGATCATCTCTCTGTTCTCATTTTACAGTGTTTGTATTAAATAAGGAGTCATATTAAATAATTGCAAGGCTTAGCATCCTTTTATTTTTCAAGGCAGTATCTGTAGACTCTTCACATATCTAGACTGGTGGTGGCTCAAGGTATATACAGCTCTTATCAAAAATATGAAAGGTTGTAGAAATGAGGCCAAACTCTTAGCTGTAATAAACAGAATACAGAAATGATTCAAACAGAGAAGAGAGCGTTGCCATTTATGGTGGCAAATTTCAGCTTTGTCCTTCTTTTCCACAAGAAGAAGAGAAACAGTTTATGCAAAGGAAAGATAGCAACAGCCAGGCACTGCTGCGTTTATCTTTAGTGTGATAAGCTTCCTTCAGGCAGACAAGAACAAACTGTGCACAAGGCATGGAGAAAGTACAGGGTTTACATTTCAAACTCTTTCTGCAGTGAATCTTTCCAGCTTCAGGAAACCAGTTAAGTTTCCTCTTTGTCAGAGCTCCTTTCAGCTTCTAAGGAAGCACAGATACTTGGTACCTCCTTTGGTGCACTGAACCCTTTAATTTTATTTCAACAGGGCTTGACTGATAAGTAGTTGTAAGTGACATGTGGCATTTAGTTTAGTTGCTTGGAGCAACCTGCTCTGGTGGAAGGTGTCCCGGCCTGTGGCAAGGGGTTGGAACTGAATGAGCTTTAAGGTCCCTTCCAACCCAAACCATTCTATGGCTCCATGGGTTTGACAAACTGTTACTGAACCAAAGGCAGAGCTCAGACCCCCCCAGCAGGCAGTCTCAGTGGCAGGAGCTGGTGCTCTCAGCCAGCAGCATCCCTGCTCCAGCAGCCAGGTGGCACCAGGCTCAGTGATTAGCATCCCTGGGGCATCCCTCAGTGATTAGCATCCCACAGCTGCAGCATCACAGCTCTCATTAGGGCTCAGCTTCTGGCTCCTCAGGGTGCACCTGAAAGCTTTTAAATCTTGAGGCGAGCCACTTTTCCTGCAGCTTCTGAGCTCCCTTTCCGCTGCCAAAGCTTTGTGCTTGGAAGGCCTGTGTGGAAGTGCAGGTGCTTGTGGCTGGCTGTGCAGAGCTCACATGTATGGTCCTAGCATCTGGCTGATGGCATCTGGAAACCCCGCTTCATTCTCCTTGCTCCTGTGCAAGCACAACAGATGTAGTCTCCCCGTATTTTCACAGCATGTGGTAAGTAGTATGTCTGTGCAATGAGTAATGAAGTTGAGGCAGCGGGCGTTCTCCCTGTGTGGAAGTGTGGATGTTTTCAACCTCTGTGATTTCTTTATGTATTAAAACGTTAAAGAGGCTGAATTCTGTAAGAAAGACTTAACTACTCCTTAAATCTTACACCTTTCCATGCATTGATTCTTCAGTCTCGAAAACAAAAGCAAGTGGAGGTCGCTTGTAACTCTAAATGCTTGAATAAGATATTCATGTCTATTTGCTTCTGGAATACTGAAAATAGGTGGCCCTCTTGTCCTTATCAATGTAGCAGACTTTTACCCCAGTGGGGAGTTTCTGGTTGGTTCTTTCTGCACAGTGGTTATTTTCTAATGATTTGTAGCAGATCCATTCAAATCCGAGTCTTAAAGCAGGATTAAAGTAGGATAAATTGTCAGGAGAGAAAACAAAAAAGGCCTAATTTGCTTTGGCCTGGCTTGCTCCTGATATATTTATTCTAAAACAAGATGATTAGCATAGCAAAACATGTTCCCAGACTATGTGAATGTGCACTTCCATTGAGAAGGGATTTGCTGGCTGTGCTTATGGCAGCCAGTGTTCTTGCCTAGGTTTTAATTTGTTTGTTTGGATGTTTGATGTGTTGTTAGGGGTTATAGGACTGAAAAGCTTCCAAAAGTCTTACCCAGCTTCTCAAAAATACCAATCCAGGAAAATACATGTTTACTTTTGGAAAGTAGATGTTCTCTCTTTGGCAAATAGGTGCTTACCTGTATTTTTGGCAGGGGTGTGGAATCTGGGTATCCAGTTAGAACTTTCAGCTATTGCTCACTTGGCCAAGCTGGCAGAAATCGGTTTTGACTCACTTCAAAGGCCTTTTGCACTATTGATGCTGACAAAACCGTAGCTGCAAAAGAATATATTCATTTTAGAAAGCCAGATTGGTTCTTGGAACCAAAATGGCTCCTGTGGTGTGCTGCTAATCGCATCACACATGCAGAAGTCAGGGCTGCTGCAGGTTCTTGCAGCAATCCCCTGCCTTGGTACACACGTTATATGAAATACTTCAAAATTGCAGGGTTTTTAATAGAATGAAATGGTTTGAGATGTGCTCCCCTGTGAATTGTTCTTGTCGTTAAATATGACTCTCTTTGGAGAATAAATTCCCTTTTGTTAGCAAAAGAAGATCCTAAAAGGGGGATGGGGATAATGTTTCCTTCAGCATCTGTGAGACACTGCAAATTGAGCTCAGGTGAAATCATTATAGTTCCTAGTTAAGGGTTAGGCTCTGCTTTTACACACCTGGCTGGCTGATGGCTTCAAGGCAGCTGCAGTGAGAACAGAGCTCAGGCCTAAGGCTGTGCATGCTCTTTTTCCTCTCAGTAAAGTGATGAAAAGGTCCACCAAGCTTGATGAGGTGCGGAAATGGCTTGAAATGGAAAAATTAAATTGCTTTATCTTTTTAAAGTGATGATGGGAATGTGGAAAACATTACTAGCTGTAGAAGAGCCTTTCAGTAGAAACTGGCTTTGCAATATGATTCTTACAGGTCCCTTCAAGATCTTTGTTAGCGAAATGAAGAGGGAGGTGTATGTAAGGCTGTGCAGACAAGGACAAGCAGACACATTCAGAGTGGACTTTTAAGATTATAGTGTAAAATACCTGAATGCAGTTTGGTCCAGAAGTGCTGTACAATGTATTGCACATTTGCCACTTAGAGCCTCATGAACCTGTGATTCAGGCATCAGCTGAGCTAAGAACTTCAGTCTACATTTAATTTTGATGAGGTGTTTGTTAGTTCAGTCGCTCATCTCCATCCTGCATCTTTTGCAGCTGATGGCTTTGATGACAATGGCACTAAATTATACACTTCAAGATTAGTATTTCTTAGCTGGTTTTTCCTATAACTGGGACTAAAACGTTCTTTTTAACAATTTTACCCAGAGAAAAGGGTATGTCTTTTGAGATTATGGAAATCAAAGTTGGAAAAGGTAAAAAAGTCCTTGTGCTACGATGCATCCTTCTGCTGTCTCCAAAGCAAAAGCACAGCACCTTTCATAGATCTCTCAGCCTCTGCTCATCAGTAGCTACAGTACTACATTAAACGTTGGTTTGATACTCGGCTTGTGTATTTCTAGAAGTACAGGCCTGTAAGTAGGGAATGAGGAAATTTCTTGTCAAGAGGAAAAGACAAAACTGCCTGTATCCAAATGGAGCATAAGATAATCATATTTTAGTAACAAAGCATTGTTGGAGGTAAGGAGGCTGCAGGAAAGTCACTCTGGAAGATTAAGTGGTTTGTGCAGCCCCAGCATAAGAGAGCACATCTGCAGAGAGGTATCTGGGGTTCAGAGACAAACAACAACCCATCTGCAGCATTTAGCATGTGGTGTAACAGTAACCGTGCAAGGCAGAATGCATCTGAAAGAGGAAAAGCTGCTCTGTGCATTAAGAAAACTTCTTCAAAATAACAAGGAAATTTAGTCTTAAGTACCGGGCTTCTATTTTCATAGTTTATGATATCATGATTAGGTTCCTTCTGTGGACACAAGTTTCTTAATAGTGCTATTCATCACTGACAAAGGTTAGACTTGGAGAAAGCTAGAACTGAGTTGAAAGAATAGACTTTTTATTATGTTAGCAGCTGAATGTGTCATTACATCAGAGTCAGTATTGTGTGGCAAATTGCAAGCTGTAGTGAAATTGCTCTAAAAACTATCTGTATATGTTTTTCTCAAACTCTGATGAAGTCATTCAGCAGCACATTGAAATGTATTTCTAGCTGAACTGTTATATCCGATCTTTTTCTACTGTGGCAAAAGAACAGATGGCAGTTATTTTCCTTAGTCTCCAGCAAACCTGATGCGATGCCTTCCCTTGTAAAGCCTTTCGAGTGAAAAACAGTTACACGTGGCCGAAATGAATCTGCATTGTAACATTGACTTGTGGTTTCTAAAGCAAACTTTTAATCAGCTTGAAACAGTAGGCTGGTGATAATTACTTAATGTGTATCAGTCAAGTAGATCATTATGACAGGAAAATGAGCTATTAATCAGAATCAAGTGCACACGTTTTGCAGTAAGTTTTCAGAGCAGATGTCTTTTCATAGACGTTTTTAATGGAATAATTGAGTGGTCCATGACTTGAGGACAACTGCAGTCACTCCCATGGTACAAAGCCATTTGTGGATTTGGAGATGCTTCCTGTTGCTTTATAGCATTCCTGGGGGGACAGTGATTGATCTGAGAATAACAGCTGTTCCGTAGCTGGCATGTGGAGAGGGCTGCAGCACGTGCAGTGACAAAGTTGTTTTATATGGTTTTTATAGGCATAATATAAATTGCAGTGTTTTTCAAAGGGTTTTGTTTTCAAATCGTCACTATCTTAACAGTAACTTGGTAACTTGGAGGAAGCCTGGTGGAAATGTCTCTAAATACAACCTAATGTAACATTACTTGCCTGCTTCACCAGGAACGCTGCGTACTGCAACAAAAGACTGTATTATTAAGTGAAGTCATTTGTAGTTATAAATCAAAATGAAGCTGCCAAGTATTGTAAATGTAGGACTACCTACCAATTTATGACTTTTTAGATTGCCTGCTCTACTGTGCCATGTTATAGAAGCATTCTTAAGAGCTATATTTTATTTACAAGCATTTTAATTAATGCTCTGTTGAAAATCTGGCCTTTCCTTATTCAGAGAAGCTTTTTTTTTCTTCTATTTTATACAAGCATGGTCAAATAAACCTGGTGTCTCTTATTTTACAGCCTTCGACAAAAGAAAGGGAACTTGGCTCAGAAGCACTGGGCTGGACCAGCTAACATAGCCAAGTGCAAGCCTTGCCCCATGACGCATGGCAACGCTGTCTGTGGATCTGATGGACACACATACACTACCAGGGTGAGTTCTGCTGGTGACCGTGTTGGTAGTGATCATCCAGGCTGTAGTATGAAGATGAAATAGCTTTCATTAACAGGTGGCATTAAAGAACAGTTCTACTTTAGTTTAGGAATATTTTTGTGTAAAAAGTGCTGATAAATGTAAGTTTGCTCATATTTGAGAAAACAGCAAATCAGAATGACACATCAGAATCTTGTCACTTTCATGATTCATGTTACTCTAACTAGCTCGTTCTTGCTAATGAAGTGGAACACTTTCAATATTGATGATACAACAGAAAATTCATTTGACCAGATGGGCTTGCTCAGACGAGGATTTTGGGATAGTTCCTGGTTTTAAGGTTTGGTCTCCAAATGCCGTGATAACTTGGCAGTATCATTGTTCTGTGGTAGTTTTGTGGGGTTTTTTAATTAATTCTTTTCCCAGGCTGCATGGATAACATATTACAGTTCATTTAAACCACAGTTTTAATAGGCTTGTGTGCCAGATGTAGCATGTATGGTACCAGCAAAGAAGTCCCATAACCCAGTGGGGCTAAATTGGCTTGTTGTTATATTGAAAATATGACTACCTTAGGGTTTTACTTGGTAAAAGAAACTGACTTCACAGCCATTCAGCAATCCAGATCTCCCATTAGCAAATAAAGCCTTTCATGTCTCAGATACATGTGCAAAAGCAGCACTTTAGGCGCTGGAAGTTATGTTTAGGGAATACTCCTGAGGTTTTCTTCTCTTCCTGATGCAAAGTAAGGCTTGACAGCCAGTAAAACTATCCCTTAAAATAAAAAATACAACCTATGCCCAAAGAAAAATAAAAATCCAGGAAAATAAGATGATCAAGGGAAAAGAAAATCTCTGCTGTGATGTTAACAGTGATGATGATATTGCAGCTACATTATGTTCTCTGACGAGCAGCTTGAATTCCTCATCCATTAATGGACACAGTATTAAAATGCTGCCATGGCTAATTCATTTCAGCCTCTCTTCTATTCTGGCTGAAGGATTTCCACAGCCAAAGGAGCAAATCAGCAGTAACTCTCTCATCTTGGCACATACAGGCTGCAGAAAAAGGGCTCCAAGTTGCCACTCTTTAATATCCTCCTGGAGTATGTAATGCAGTAATTTAGCATTGGTATTTAGGATTAAAACTGGGCTCATTTTGAAAACAACTTTTTTGTCTCAACACTTGAGAGTATGTAAGGCTCTGTAGTAAATAGCTTTCATTGCATATTCTGGCATCGTACTGAGCTCATTTCTGTGCAACTTCCTTGCATCTGTTAGTTCTGAGTCTTCTTTTCTGACCTTCTGTATTTCTTACCCTAAGATTCAGATGCTTTTCATAAGAAGTTCTGCCAGTGTCATTAATTTGCCAAACTATTGTGACTACCAATACAAGCTTGACAACTATAATTAAGACATCAAGCAATTCCTGTTCCTGACATGCTTGACGATCAAAGATGCACCACCCAGAAGTTGTCTGTTTAAAGGAGCCTCTTGAAAGATTCATTCAGAGGACACTTTGTCTCATCTTCTTTTAGTGTGTGTTTAATTATCCATTCCTCTTTTCCTAGCAATTGAAAACTGCAGCATGTTGTTGGCCTCTCAAGTGCAACAACCTCTTTTCCACAATCTTTTTGCATGCTCTCCATCACTGCTTGGGGACGAGAGGGTTTCGTTGCTTTCTGAGTACTGTTCTGCAGGGGCAATTACTTGTCATATTGTGTATTTGTAGTTGCTTTTTCTAAAGCTTTCTTTCGACTGAAGGCTCCTCCAGTGTCATGATGATTGGCAATCTTTCTGTAGCATCCAGTCCTAGCGAGTGGATATGTGTCTGATTAACCTTTATGGAATCTCAGAGAGATGCTGATAGCAATGGTGTTACTGTTTTCTGTACAGAGTACATTGTAAATCTCAGAGTACGTAACCTGTAGAACATCATTGTTTCTACAACTGCTTCTAAAAGCTCTGCTTCATTGATGCCTCCCCCAGAAGACAGATTTTGGTAAATGAGCTGAAAATACTTTAGACAGAGTGTTAAAACTAAATGGTATATTTTAATGTCCTAACAAATAACATTTTTATGGTCAGTAATGATCTTGGGTTTGTGGTATCTTTTATAAACAGAATAAACTGCTTCCTTCAAATTCACCGGCAGTTTTCACCAGATGCTGTAATCCCTCTTTCTTGCCCTTAGGTCACTAAAAATCAAAGCTTTTCTTTGGCAATTTTCTTTCACATGCAGTGCTGTTGACATATATTATTTCTGGCACTGCACTGGTGGCATGACATAGTATTGACTGTGAAAATGCAAGAAGGTGGACATTTGAGTGTGGGCACTGCTTTGCATCTGTGTGTATGTATTCATACCTGGCTCTGCATCAAGTGAATGTGTAATGATATTCTGGGCAAATGACAGTATTCCTGCAAAGCCTGTAAACAAAAGATAGAGAGTGGCCACTGCATTTCAATGGAACAAGCCTTCTGAAATGGTACATTGGCTATCTACTCACACAGGCAGCATGCACATACACCCCAGCATTCTGACCCAGCCTGGCCCAGTTTGATTTTTGCCTTTTCCTGCCAGCACAGCAGGGGGTTTGGGCTTACAGTTCATGGCCTGGCAGAGCACCATCAAAGCATTTCACTAATGACTGGGGGCTACCATTCAACACTATCAGTCATGTTTGTACCAGGGATCGCTCTTAACATGTTTTGAACTGTTAGAGGTAAAAATGAACGAAAAGGATATAGCAGAAGTATGGTTGACTGTGGTAAAATGCAGCTGAAACTTGGGTGTCAGTAAATGCAACGAAACACACGTAAGAGAAAACAACCAAATATACACATCTCAAGCTCTTATTTAGCTACTTGATCTCAGAATAATTCTGGCTCTTTCTTGGAAGACAGGGTAGACCTAGAGGCAAGAAACTAGAGAGAATGATCCAACCCAAACCACTCAATAATACAAGGATCATAGGGGAAAATGTGAAATGTAAACTACAAGCCACCATTCAAGCTTACTGGTTGATATAGAGGCTCGGGATTTTTAATGTGGTCTTTCAGTTGCACCAAATACATAGAAGCCTTCAGGCTCTCCACTAATTTCTTGAGGACTAGTCAAAGGAATAGTTCTCTCTTTCTTTGAAAAAGAAATCTTCCATTGAGAAATATTTAAAGGTGTTGGTTTCCTACACAGAGGTAAATGGGAAAATGTTGAAAATGAGAAGTCCATACCCAGATCTTGTGCTACAAGGGATTTGAAAGTGTCACCTAAACTATCGCAGTAAGAGACACAACGTACAGAGTACTTTGATGGATCTTAAATTGAGTCACTTCATATGTGAGAGTTGTACTGCTTGAAAAATCTCATCAGTCCTTAAGCATTAAACATTTCTGGTTCTTCTGAAGTGTCTTCAAAAGTTGTCTCCATTGTTGACTTGAATTGTTTCATTTGCTTCACACAAGTGCTGATGTTGAAGGGGATGAAGATGTTTGGCTGGGGTTTTTATTCTTGTTTGGTTTTCCAGATGACAGACTAATTCTTCTGGGCGATGAGATTCTTTAGTCACACCAGTAATTCAGTGCTTGTGCTTGACAAAATCTGAGCACAGATGTGGCCTTTGTCTACTCAGTCCCATACTGTTTCCAGCAATTGTTCCTAGTGTTTTTTGGTTTACTTTCACAATTTAGTTATATTTCTGGAAACCTTAAAAAGTCTCTATCACCCTTTCATGTTACCTTTGCACTCTATGGGCTTTAGGTTTGCACTGAGTCTCTCTAGCTACTGCTTGAAATGCAGATGTTTTAAAATGCCCACGTTCTCTGTCATATAATAAGACTTCATGAAAAAGAGATGGCTGTTTCCTGAGCATAACAGCTCTGTTTAATACTCTGACAATACAAAGCACCTCCACAGTCTGTTGCAATCTGAGTTTTCAAAGCTCTTTAAAGTACTAATGAATTAAGCTTATGAGGTAAGTAAGCCCTGGGAAGAGCACTATGTAATTAGTTAATGTTTTTGTCGGCAACACATTAAGATCTCTGTAGCTGTCAGTTTTACAGGAAGTTTAATTAAGCTATTTAATAAAGCAATTACCTGAACATGGCGACAACTGCACTTAAATAATCAGAAATTGAAAATCAGGATGATCTTAAATTCTGAAACATACAACCTCAATGACTAATAGTCCTTTCAAAGATGGAAAGGTACATTGGTATAATTATTATGCTTCTAATTAGGTACATTGTTGTTGTGCAAAGTTTAATTAAATCATTGCAAACTAATTAAGGCCGTGATCATGCCTCTTTTTGTCTGAAAAGGGAAAATTGCCTCCTATTGTCATAACATTAGGTAACAAATTTGATATTGAGGGGTGTGCAAGAGAAATAATTTTCTGACAGTCTTGAAATGAGAGGGAAAATAATGACTGAAATAATGATGCTAGTAGTTAAATGTGTGCAATGTGAGTGCTGCTGCATGTAATTAGGAGGAATCTGTATTGAGAAGCACAGTTAATAAGGATTTGTTAAAAGTCGCCAAGTGTTGAGTATTTAGTGCAACATGGTTTGGTTTTCCATAATCCAGTCATTAGCTGGATTACCTGTCCTTTTGCTGTGGGTTGCTGTCATCCAGCTGTGGTTTTGCACATCTTTCCCTCACTGTGGTTGGTTGAAAGCATAACTTAGTCTTTCCTGATGGAAAACAAGATACAAAGCAGAGGCTTAGAAAGCGTTAAGAGCTGTCCTGCCCTCAGTTAGATGAAGAGTTGGATTAAATTCTGTATTAACTTTCATCTTTTGTTTGGTTTCGTAAGGGAAAATTAAGGAAATCAGTGCCAGAGGGTATGCTGTGGGGAGTAAGGGAAGATTAAGACAAGGTAGGATATGGTTAAAGAAATCTGTGGAGAAGAAAATTAACTCATCCTGATGCATTTGCTCCTTGCACAAAGTTTAAAGATTGTTGATGAGGGGGTACAGGAATAAATCAGTTTCTCCTCTCCC